GGTTCTAATCACCATAACACGTCTAGGGCCATTTTTCCATCCAAAAACATTGTCAGTGAAGAATAGGGGAGGAGGATGGAGAGAGGAGGGAACAGAGATGAAAGACAGGAGACAGGGAAGAAGAGGAGAAACCTGGAAGAGCGATGAGCAGTAGCAGACTGACAGCTATTAATGAAGGCCGTCTGCAACTGATTTTATGGATGATCTAGGTATGAATTCACAAGCATTAGATTCTTCATGTCTTTCTCCACTAGGAATAGCTGCGATTCAACGTTTGGTAGCTCCTGTCTTCAGGTCCCAGCAGGATTTGGCCACGATAAGCTACATGTCATGAACTGTCATCTGTCCTTATCTGCATGGATTAATGACTATTGCATCGCCTAACTCAACAGTTAAATGCTTATTTAAGTCTGACAAAACTTCTAGTGAAGATGCAGTTTAGGGTTTACTCTGCTACAGTTGATTTGCTTGCTGGAAGCAGATGGTTGAATAAGTGTTATTTGTAAGTATGTTCTTTATTAGCAAGGGCTCTGTTTATTAGCTGTGAGGCAAGTGAGTTTTTAGGAGGTGACAGAGCTTGAAAGGTAAGCTGCTGTACTCACTGATAGATGCACTGTACGCTGAGGCCAGGTGCAAAATCTAGGTGGTTTATAAAGGTAGCGACTTCCTTTGTTCAGTAAAAATCTGAAAAGCAAGGGAGCTGCCATGGGAGTATGAGATAAAGCGATTGGAGCAGCTCTGCTGAGCACAGGCCACTGGCAGGGCTGTCCAGTCCCAGACTGTAGCTGCAACAGTTTAACTGGAAACTCAATGCAAATCCTTCATACGGTTCTGGTGGAAACATAACCAAAAACACTGCAAAACCAAAGTTAACATACAGTCAAGGCCGGTCAGAGAAGCACTATCAGTGGGAAATGAGGAACCTGAGGAAAAGAAAGAACAAACATTTGGGGCAGATTTCTATCTGAGGGGAAATAAGAGAGGCTTGTAAGATTGACTACAGAAATGACTTTTGTCTGATTGCCACTGTGTTTAGGGAGATAGAGCTTTGTATGCAAACGCCATTGCATAAAAGAAATACTGCAGGACTCATCAGTTCCTCCCTGTAGTGGAAATTACCTCCTTGAGACTTCGAATATTGACTAACTGCTTCAATCAGGAGAGTTAACGCTGGTATCAGGGGTGGGATTCAGTTTCCAAGGAGGGAAAGA